CCTCTTGCATCTTCCCCTTTTTTCACCCTTTCACTCCTGTATGTGTGAGATGACTGTAAATATCTCATTTGTTAATATATGTATATGAAGAGTGCTTAATTATTATAAAGAGAAATAGGCAATAAGGAATTTTGATTTTGGATCAGTAGGTATACTGGCAACGAGTCTAAATCTTGTCTAGGGTTTATCTGAATGACATATATTGCTCGCCAGGGGCGACGTATTCGCCCAGTTTTCAGAATAATGGTATTAGCGGACAATATAGGCTCAAAATTCCGACAGATTCGCAATCAAGACCTCAAATCCGAAGAGGTGCTTAAGATATGGTTAAGTTCAGATAAAAACACCACACTCTTGCCTCTCATGTCAACCTACAATTCTTTAGGTACATGTGGAAGATACCCGACGAAGAAACAACAACTAACCTAATTGATGCAACCCAGAAAGCTGAAGTACAACCATCAGGCACTTGTGCAACGTCTTCCATTTGAAAGATTCGTCGCAAATAACTTCCTATATAGGACAAAATAAAATTGATTTCATTTGGTCGAGATGATAACCGATAGACTGATTTTGGAGTACTCGTTCCTCTTTAGTACTGGGAGGGTCATTTCAGACGAAGTGAAACTTCTGAATATCGCGAACAAACAAAATAATTCCAACTACTTATGAGTTCTATCTACTTTTGGTTCAGTAGGATGTACCACTGCGCCACCTGCAGATAATTTCCGAAACCAACTCCACAAACACATACTCCTGGGTGAGAGTATGTGTTTGTGGTACATAAGATATGCTCAAGTTCATTTGAAAACACCTCACCCTTGATTCGCATGTGAACCTACGACTTTGTAAGTACGTGTGGCAGATATCCGACGGAAAAAACAAAAGATTATACAAGGCAGAAATCGAGTTAGTTGTTGTTTTCCCGTTGGGTATCTGCCACACGTACCTACCTACAAAAAAGTAACCACACGTACATTCTATAAAATCATAGGTCCACATGAGAGACAGGAGTGAGGCGTTTCACCTGAGCTTGAGCATGTCATATGCTCCACTCTGGAATATATTTATCATTCTGACTCCCACTCTGAAGTATGTGTTTGTGGAGTTATTTCCGAACTTTGTCTGCAGGTGGCGCAGTGGTACATCCTATCGAATCAACTGTAGATAGAGCTTATGACTAGTTGAAAACAATTTTGTTTGTTCGCGAATCTCTTAGTCATGAACCCATTTTCTTCTGACAAAAATCAGCTGCAAGGGTAAGGGAGTTAGGCTCCAACCTGATTGAAGTGAGAATGAGATTGGTGTTTGTTCGCGATATTCATACGGTTCACTGCGTCTGAAATGAAACTTCCGATACTGACGAAGAGTTAGTACCTACTCCAAAACCGATCTATCGGTGGTCATCCCGACCAAATGAAATTAATTTCAGTTTTTCATATTCTACGTCTTCCATTCGAAACTTTCGAATGGAAGACGTGGCATAGGTGCCTGATGGTTCTACCTCAGCTTTCTTCGCGGCATTAGCTGGGTTAGTTGTTGTTTTTCCGTCGGGTATCTGCCACACGTACCTATAATTGTAGTTCACATGAGAGGCAAGGGTAAGGTGTTTCACCTGAACTTGAGCATATTATTTGCTCCTCTCCGAAATATGTTTATGATTGCCTCTACTTATTTGGGATTGACCTTTAAGGACAGACAAATGAGCAGTGCATTTGTGGTTCAGCTTAGCACAACAGGTAGACACCGAACTGTCTGGTGTTGAATTATGAATGCAATAATTTTGGGCTTGGCTTTGCAATGGACCACCATTTGTGAATTCAGTAGCTGGCGGTTAGCGCCATGATATGTCTCTGTATGCGTCGGACTGAGTAGGCATGTTTATTGTGGTGCGATATGAACTGTTGTTTACAAGTGATATGAAGTGAAAAATTTGTGACTGTACTAAGTAATATTCGTGACATACGTGCGTATAGTGCTTATTAGTTTGAGAAGATCAGAAAGTCAAATTATATTTCCTGTTTGATTCGCGAAGAAAAAAGGGCAAGGACGAACTGCAAGGAGCTATGTATGTCCGAAGATTTCATTAGTCAATTGACGGCCACGATTACCAAAATCATGAGTGAACGATTCTGCAAAGAGATGAATGCTTCAAAAAAGAAAACGAAAACATTTAGGAAGATCTGAAATCTCAACAGGAATTGATAGTATCACTCTCAAATAAACAAGATAAATACATGCGCAGAAGGAATATTCGCTTTTTTGGAATTAGTGAAAGAGATAAAGAAAACAGTATCCATTGAATATGCCCACAGAACTGGAAAATTTGTCGAACGTGAAAATCGACCCATTATGGTTAAATTACTAATATGTGTTACAACAATAAAAAGCTGCTAAAAATGCAATTATAATCATTAGAGAAGATTTAAAAGATAATCAAATGAAATTACTCAAAGGATGCCTCCAAAAAGTTGGGAGTAGCAGTATAGCTTGGACTAATTTTGGTAATATTTTTGCCAGGAAGCTACTTTGCAGGTAAAATGTGCCGAGGATCTGAATTAATTATGAATCATCCCTTGATAGATAATTAAAACTACCCTACTTTTCATTTATTATTTCTGTTTCATTACTAGTAGTCACAGGGACAATGGTTACAAATTATCTCTTGGTCTTTTCCATCTGGATATGCAGTTATTTACATGTTTTTTTTTCATCTCCATACTAGTCGTTAGGCATTGATAGATTGAACTTCATTCAATTGAATTTGTTCAAATATCAACCTAATTCGTCTTGTATAAAACCTCAATGAACTGAAATGTGTCGCACTGTGCAATTGAGTCACGTCTGTATTGAACTGCCGATTGTGCTTTTTTATCAATCCTGATAAACATAGAGATAGAAAAAAGTGTGCCTTTCCAATTATTTGAAAACGGTTGGAGTTGGTTTTTTAATACATGGCTAAAAGAAATAAAAATGATTATAGGTGGAGGTTTTGATACATGGCTAAAGTCATGTTTAAATTATGAATATTTAGAAATCAAATATCATAAATTATTCAGACTTGATATCTCTTGAAAGTAATTACTACGAACAATGGCTTAAAATCAATATGAAAAACTATCAGAAGTTGGCGTCATATACAGGCCCCCACAGCAAGATGTTTCAATATTTCTTGTCTTGTCTGTTTATTCATAAGTTTATTACGATGTAAACACCACATATGTATTTCTGTGCGTTTCTATTTTGATTGATTTCTATTTGAATAAACGTTATTATTATTATTATATATGAGTTATGACCAGGTGAGCGTTGATGACAAAGTTAATTTTTTAGTGAATTGCCTCGTGAATTTGTTTGACAGACATGCTCCCTTCATAACCTCTACAGTTACTAAACCAAGCGCCTTTTGGCTAATGGATACCATTAAAGAAATTCCGCAAACGTCGAACAGTGCATTCATGAACACTTTCATTGCCAGAAATGCCCTTTTGGGCTGTTTCGGCAGCGCTTTGGTTCAATTTGAATCTGTAGAGTGAAATTGGCCGTAATTTACTCAACGACATCATATAGTAATAAGCTGAAAAGGGGCAAATAATTGAAATTTGGAAAAAAAATCATTAGCATCAATGTATAGGGTAAGGTTAGGTTAGGTTGGGTCAAAAGTGAGTGGGTCTATTCGGCACTCCACCACAATCCGCAAGGGTTTATTGTGGCTCACACCTATTCACACTCGACCAAATAAACCCAGCTTCTTACCGAGGCCGAATAGTTTGTATGGTGAACAACAACTGTTTGGTATCAAGCTTCGAAGAAGGATGGCAAGAAATCTTCTTGCCATCCAGGTGTTCAATGTTTCTATAGCGTACAAAATTATTTATCGATCAGTAGGTACCGCGACACAGTAGAATAAATAATATGTATTGAGATATGGGGCTGCAAAAACGCATCACATTAAAACGTAAAACTCTTTTGAATAACTAAATACCACTCAAATAAATATTTCAGTATTTTCTGCTATGTATCATCCTGTAGAAGTGAACGTATTAGGATCATTTCCTTTATTCAGCTCCATACAAATTTTTGTGGTAGTTATGTTTTCAGTTCATCCTGTACGTACGATAAGAAGACACACATATTGTTAGGTTGTATGTTATGAATATCTGTTTCAGTAATTATTATCAGTACATATTTCTGGAAAATGGTTGTTCACATCACTAATCTCATCAATCCATATATTGCATGGCAATTCATGGATGGTAAAAGTGAATAGAAATTATCGGAGATTGTATTATACAACAGAGTTTAGTAATGGATAATTTTGCACATATTAGAGAGTTTAATGTTCAAACCAGTGAATTGACCATTTTCATCACAAGCATAAAAACTATTCCATAGTGAATGGAGTGACAAATGCAACAAAACGTGCATTTTTATTGAATATTTGGTAACATTGTCAACGATGATTTGAAGAATGGTGAGTCTTCTTTTGCCTATCGAGATAAATTTTACAGTACGATGAAATTTATTCAGTTCCACTGATTGGGGTGCAAGGGTGCTAATTTCAATTTTGAGTTGCGGATTTTATTCACGGAAGAGATATTGATTTGTTGTTCGATTCTAGGGACGTTCTGGACAAGGTAGGCTTTTCGAAGAAAAAATGGTCAGCAAATTATTAGATGCCAATCGCATACCTTTGTCCAAAATGGCGGCTGGACAGGATACTGTATCGAAGGAGTTTGAATCAAGCGTACATCATGTGTCTCATTTCCGGAAGAAACGTCACAACACCAATCCAGCTCAACGGTTCCAAGATCAACCTTCAACCAACCAATACCACAATTATTCATGCAATTTATGTGAAACTGAAGATCACTTAGCACTTCTTCGTCCGAATGAACAGAAGAAAAAAAATAGATTAACAAAAGTTGGGACTTTCATGAATGTATTCAAACTAAAAATCGCGTCAGTCAACTTTTCAACTACTGACACCAGTATTGATTGAACTTTTCAAGAGTATGATGCATTATTTTCTGCTGGGCCCAGTAGTTTCAACAGAGGTAGTGCATTTTCGAAACCTATCAAGGATGGGCAACTTTCATTGTACGGGTAATTAAAAATATGGTTCCATTCAAATATGCGAAAATTTTTGTATTACGATTAATTCTGTTCTTGAAATTGATCAGTTTCCACTCTCATAGACGATTCATTTCCGCAATAACAGGGGACAACATACACATATTGTACAAATGTTTATTTATACGACAAATGAACATGTCTGGTATGTGTTTCTTCTCATAAACTACCCTCATCAATCCATCAATAGCATTTTGAATGAAAGTTATAGAACTCATTGAAAATGATTTTGAGGATTATCAATGCAACAGCAATAATAAGAGATAGAAAATACTTTAACTGCTAATAAGTAGCAGTTTTAGGAATTGAAGTAAACATTCTGAAGTTGAGATAAGTGAAAACCTTATGAATATAATTCAATATGACTAATCTCATGAGAAGGACTCTATTGAATGATACTTTTTCAACTTGTAACACTTCACTTAATAAATATAGTAACTGAAACTACTACTAAACTATCTGAATGAATATAGTAGGTGAGAGAAATGATTTTAGATGAAAATGGAGAACAATTGAAACAACTTATCATATTGCTTATTCTCTTTTAATGCAAATGTAAACTATCATTGCAAACTTCTGTGCTGCGTGGAGAAAAAACCAAATACATCAGTAAAGCAAAACCAGAATATGAAGACTGAACAATCTGAAAAAAAGTAAACATCCTTTGAATTCAACCGGTCTAATTTTTTATATAATGTAGTTCATAAACATCTATCTATATAAACAATCAGGAATATTCGATTGTAGACAGCTGTTCTACAAGTCACTGGTATTGAATCATTATACGGAAAAGGAAACATTATGTGGCCCAAACCATAACTACACCGCACGAAATCAAAACAGGTACATGCATCATTTGTACACAAGTCAATAGGGCAAAGATTTCACCATTCGTTAGACCCGTTGTGTATAATTTTTTACCGGAAAACAATAAAACTCTGGTATCGTATACTCGATTGAAACATTCATTAAATTAATACATACGCAGCATACCTCGCATATAAATTAGTGAAATATTTGATCAGAGTAATTAGGTTTCAACTTATACAAATCCCATACAAAAATTAGTAAAATGATTGAGAAGAGCAATTGGGTGTAAATTATGGTTTCGGTGGCACGTGCGAGTGTTCAATGTGCATGCACAATGTGCATGACTGCACAATGTGCATGCCGAAAAACAGAATCGTTTTGAGAAATCAGGAATGGAAATTGAATTCTGAAAAAAATTTAAACGTACACCAAAAATTTTCATTAATTTTTTCTACTCACCCATTTGAAAACAGGAATCGACATCGAAAATAATCTTCCGACCCAAATCTCTATGGGGAACTTTGTCTGAATCATAAAATTGAGTAAAGTTTTTTTGTATTGCAAGTCGCATTCAATCCAAGGCGTGTTATAAATAGCATCAGATATTTTGGAGCTCTGGAAAATTGAACTTTGTGTTATTGCCTCATCTCGACAAAGTTTCGTGTAGGTTCAATGGTTGATGAAAATTTTATCCCAATTCAGAAATATTAAAATTATGTATTCGATGATATTATTATGATCTATGGAAATGTATTTAATCTCTAGTTATCATTTCATCGTCGACTGCATCTTCTACTATGCTAGCCGCTACTATTAATTGGTGATAAGAATCATACACAAGTATGTGGCTTCCAATGTTTTTCGAATTCATTTTCAAATATTTGCTTCTATTTCAGTGTTACTTGAATTTAATCATTTTACAGGACTGTTCGTGACTTCATTGTGAATAATAAACAGGAACACATAAACTCTATACAAAAAACTACGTACTTGTTGATTTTTATTATTCATATATTGGTTCTTGATGTAAGAATCAAGAAATCATATTGGAACTCATCTGAGTTTTAATGAAGGGGAATATTTGAGTAAATTTAATTCCACCCCAATAGCGAGGCTGACAGTGACAATGAAGAAAATTCAATAAGTGATATTGATGTAAACATATGGTTCCCACGAACTGTCTTAGTTCAAGTTTAGTTGCAGAAGAGTACAAAAGAACCGGGCCCGATTTATCATCAACTTCGAAAAATTTAAGTTCAGCCCAAGACTGCAGAATACACATCGTCATCATCATCAGGAAAGGAGGTGTAGGAAAAAACGACTTCTTTCGAGATTAAAGATTTATTAAAATGATGAAAATGTCGAATTTTGAAGAAAATTAAATTATTTCCGTTAGTGATGAAATGATTGGGAAATTTAGGAAAATTGAACAGAAATTCAGCACTCATTTAATCGAAGCTGAACGGAATATTTATTTGAAATGCGCTAAACGGAACGTGCCTTCATTGAAAAATATTCGCAAAATAATACGCATCGACTCAAAAGTTCGAGGAAATAACAAACGGATCCAGTTCACGTGGGAAAATTTCTTAAATTTCCATATAAGAGATCTTGGATTTATGGTGATGACAGAAAAAAAAAGAAAGTTCAATTCGGTAACACGAAATTAAGAAAAGGACGTCATTCAAATTTTTTTTCAGTAAGGATTTTTATCTTCCTAAGCAAATAATCATGAACGCTTTAAAAAAATTCGGATCGATCAGTACTCGTGAAATAGGTATTTCAATACTAAAAACATGTGTTAGAAGGTGGTTGACAATGTTTCGTGGTGCATATCGGACTTCTATTGTCTAATATGATATAAATTGATTTGAAAGATGATCAGGAATCCAACCACCATAAATCGACTAAGAGAGGAATCATCAAGACTCTACTAGACTGTGCTTTCGGGCTCTGTAATACAAAGGAAGGTCTCGAAAAAGAACTAGACATCATCAAAACTGACCTTCAACGGTATGGTTACTCCAAAGTGATGGTGAAACATGCTTTAGCTAGAAGATAGCAAAAGCTTCACAAGAAAGAGAAGCCGCCACAACCAGTACTTGTACTTCCCTATATCAGAAGATTGTCGGATAGGATAAGAAGGATTGGGTCCAAGTATAACATCAGAACCTGCTTAGATCTGGGAACACCATCCGTAGCAGCCTCACGAAAAACAGGCCACCCAACGTGGTCTACGATTCCAAGAATTGCATATATCGGATACTCTATGAATGCGGAGAATCATACATCGGTGAAACAAAGAGGTCGTTGTAAGTTCGCATTGCCGAGCACAAGAAACACACACAGCGAGGAGAATTCAGCAAATCAGGAATAGCAGAGCATATTTGAACTCGTCAACATAACATCAAGTGGGCTCAAGCTGAAATCATCCACAAGGAGGAACACTGATTTAGGAGAAAATTAGAAGAAGCCCCATATATCTTATCCAACAACGCATTTAGCTAAGCTAGCATTGAGATACACAACATATGGAAACATCTAATGAAGCGAAACACGACCAACTTCAGCCAAACGGTCAGCTTTCGCTAAAACCGTAAAGCAGAGAGAGGAAAGAGGGGATAGCTGAAAGCAGTCGAATGAGCTATAAATAGTCAGATCTCGTAGGAATAATTCTAGTTATCACCCGAAGATAATTGTGGATACTAACAATCGAAACGTCGTGTAGTAACTTGGTTTGGAATCTTTTAATTTTCAATTTTCCATTTCTTGTTAATAATTTTTTAACTGAAAACATTGTTATAAGGTATAAATTGATGGATGTAGCCGTTACTACGTGGTAGGAGATCATAATGAAAAGAGAAATGAAAATTTCTATTTTCATTTCTCTTTTTTACCACTATCATTTGTAACTAACGTTACTGCAGTTTCGTCCTATATGGACATTCTCAAACGTATACAATAAACTGATTCAGGTACTCAATCAAGTATCTGAATGGTATACATATATTGGCGAATGTAATGAATCATTGTTAGTTTATTGTATAAGTTTGAGAATGTCTATATAGGACGAAACTGCAGTAACGTTCGTTACAAATAAAAGTGGTAAAAACATAGAAATTTTCATTTCTCTTTTCGTTATAAGATATTGTTATGTATTCGAGGAAATAATTAAAAAAAATCTTGTTGAAAATCACAAATGCACTGAAGGAATTCAGTGAAAAAATAGCGTAGGTGAACGTTTCGGGGAATCGTGTGTCCGGAGCTGAAGATTAACAAACTGGAATTCGGGAATGGATGGTATTTATCCTTCATCAAGCTTACGGACGATATCATAAAAACGTGTAGGTATGTGATGTTAGAAATGAAGATGAAGTTTGTTTCGCTTGGGCAATCATATCGATTTAATGTCCTATGACCAGGTATTATCACAGTACATCGGCATATATACATTGATACATCGAAGGTATCAGATACGAATAGAATAGAAAGTTTTCATGGCGCTGAGTCGATTAGACAAATTTGAAAATTCGGATGATATAATCAGTCAATGTAGATGTTTTGAAATGGACGATTTCGAACGACTCCCATCAACTAAAGACAAGTGAGATTATAATTCAGATATTGAATTTCACTTTGTGGGATCGGAATCAAAATCTATCTGGAAACCAAAGATAAAACTGGAACCTCTGGTATAACACCCTGTCCACGGGACACTCGCCGATGCGAATATTCGCGCGGTGCGAACGGCAAGCGTCTAGCGACTGAAACAAACGCAGAGGAATGTAGCCGTGAAGCCACGCGCAACGGCGACCGGCGAAATGTACCGAGCGAATCGCGTGGGCGATTTGCGGCGCGGCCGGCGTGAAAAACAAATGCATGAATCTGTATGGCGCGAGCCACGGAGTCGAGCGGTAGTCGCGGCGAATAGTGCAGTAATCAAACGAGTTTAGTTGTTTTCGCCGCGAAAAATGAACTTTTATTGCTGAATAAAATACTGATTAAAAAGTTAGAAATTCATTATTCATTCTACCGTCAATTACAAGTTAGAAGTTGTTTTTTGTTTTAGTTGTACGAAAAATTACTGTCATATAATTTAGATTTTTGCAATAAATAACATAAATATCAGAAAGTGTTTTTATTTCATGAAATAATAATATACCGGGTAACATTTAATAAGTTGGTAATATTCTGGTCAAAGATAGTTAACATCAAAAACAATTTTTCAGCGGCACTTAAAATTCTATTCGCATTAACCTTTTTCTCCAATTCTGGTTGAATATTCATAAGAATCGAAGGTTTCAATACTTATTCTGGTATACTCAAAACATTTTTCTGGATATAATCTGTATTTCTCGTACTTATTCTGGAATTCTCCATCTATAACCCGGTTCTAATTCAAATCATGTACTCCATAATCTCTTCCAAATATTAGGTCTTGAACCAAAAAACTATTAGTTTCTAAGCAATATCGAGATAGTTTCGATAAAGACATTTCTCTGTCGGATTATTGGTCGCGATGGCGAACGTGACTGCCTGTGGCCTGCAAACGGTGTTGCGCGAATGGGCGCCTCGCTCCCCGGTTTGTCGTTCGCACCTTCGATCCCCGTGGCCAAGCCGTAAGAATAAACTCTAAACATGCACTCCTCGCAAACAGCAGGACTGCAACACTTTTCTCGACGTGCGTTTCACTAACCAATTTGCCACCTTCAGGAGATGAAGTTTTCTTCATTGCTCGAATAAAAACAATTCTCATCCTCTTCAGGTATAGGAGATGACGACATCTTGCCCCTACGAAGACGCCCTCTATGGGATGAGTAGAGTAGAGAAGAGTAATTTATTTGATCACTTTATATACAAAATACATTTATGACAAGTCATATACACTATATACTATAAGTACTATGTCAGACACTTAAATTGAGCAACAAATATAAGAACAGGTTTTATCACAGCTCTACAACATAAATCATTTTTCAAAAACTATGAATTGACCAGCTACAGCAGCATATTCTTCGATTGTGTAGAAACAGTTGTTGAGAAGATATTTCTCGGTATTATTTTTGAAATTTCTGAAATCCAAAGATTTAAATAAATTCAAATTTAGGGAGTTTTTTTTTAATTAACTGCTAACCTATGTCTTGTATTATTTAATTAACATGCGGATCTTGTTGAATAATCATGATTGTGAGAATGTTTCGGAAACATCGTAATATTCTTGTCAATCTCAAACAACACAACATATGAAATAACTGCGTCGAATAGTAAATCAATAGTGTTATCAAACCTACAGCATTTCTCAACTGTTTAAGAACAAATAAAACACTAGACAGCTTACGTGTAGTTGCTTCCACATGGCTGGACCTACTAAGTCTAGCATCAATATAAATACCTAGAAACTTAACACTGTCTTTTAGAGTAACACTGGTGTTTGAGGATATCACAATATTCTGGATTTTTTTATCGATCAGTTTCAGTTTCATTTGAGGTAAACTGGTATGTGATTTGTCTGAGCATATGAGTATTGTGTCGTCGGCAAACACATTTTGTTGGTAAAATTAAGCTACATGAGTCATTCATATAAATGATGAATAATAACGGGCCGAGGATAGAACCCTGAGTAACGCTATGACAAATTGGCATTAAATCTGACTTTATATTGTTGACGTCGACGCAATGATACCTGTTTCGAAGATGATACCCTACCAGATCAAGAGTTGTGCGTCTTATGCCATGATAACTCAATTTTTGAATGAGGATTGAGTTGGAAACACAGTCGAAAGCCTTGGTCAAGTCACATAAGACTCAATACACGAATATCGATTGTTAAAATCTTCACCAAGTACATTTAATGTGTCGATATCACAAACCTCTGATATTTTCAGTATGGTTTTCCTAAATTACAAAACAGATACACTGTTCAGCCGCTATTTTAACTCTTGCGGAGTCCAATTCAGAGTCAATCACTGATAAATCTCAATATGACATTCATCTCAACTTTGGCCTCACAGAAAAGCAGAGGAAGAGTATATCAACTTTTCAGAAAAGCATTGTTCAAAGCCATACAATCTTTTGTAAATAAAATAAAATTTGTTCACTATCGATATTTCAGACATTCAACAATAACTGTTTAAAAGATTGGGAAAAATCACCTTGTGAATGATATCGTTTCCAAACCAGCAATATACGAATTGTTCCATGAGTGCAGCTGCAACGAAAGAGATCACCATAAAAAATTCGATGGTCATGATTGGAACCTGGAAAAATCAAAATTTTGGAAATATTCGAAAAAACTCGAGGTAACCAAACAACAGATTATATTCCTTATATGATAAAAATATTACTATCATCAAAATGTCACACACAATAATGATTGGAAAATATCGTTTTACCATTATTGGGAAAATGTGGTTTTTGATGAGATTCACTAAAATCTAACTTCCAAAGGTCAGCAATGTTTACGAAGATCATTTTTTCTCATTACATGTTTTCTTTTATTCGACATGAATCAATTATCGATACGAAGATTTGTTTATCGAGGCATAACTTAAAATTTTTTGTGAAAAGACCTGATGTTTTTTTTTTAGATTACAATAGCCATTCTCAATTTCATGAAGAATTATGCAAATGAAACAGTAAAAACTAACATCAAGATAACTGCTACTGTACCAGGTAACTGTTAACCAATAGTGTTTTTCCCAAATCAGTGCCAAGATCCTTTTGATGACGAAGTAGGTAGGTAGGTAGGTCTAAAGTGAGTGGGTCTATTCGACCCTCCACCGCAATCCATAAGGGTTTATTGTGGCTCACACCTATTCACACTCGGCCAAATAAACCCAGCTTCTTAACGAAGCTGATTAGTTTGTATGGTGAGTGGTCTTTCAGGTCAGATTCTCACCATCTGACTCGGTCCCCTACGGGGCAGGCACAAAGTATATGCTCTGCAGTTTCATCATTTTCCAGACAGAGGCGACACACACTGTCTTCCGACAGTCCAAGTCTCTGCATGTGATGATTCAAATGACAGTGAGGTGTAAGAAGGGCTGTTAGACATCGTAGTTCATCCCTACTATAGTCCAACAACTGTTTGGAATCAAGCTTCGAAGGGTGGATAAACGCCTTGGAGTGAGCCAATCCAGGAAGATTCTGCCAGAAGTCCATAACTCTTCTTCCCATCCATCGCCCAAAGCGATGCCAATGACAGGTTCTGGTCCAATGAAGCCGCTTGCAGCACCCTCCTTTGCAAGAGAGTCAGCAGCTTCATTGCCTTCCAGGCCAGTATGGCCAGGAATCCAGACCAGAGACAATCTGTTTAGTTTTCCTGTCGAGGAGAGTATTTTTTGGCAGTTTGCTACCAATTTAGACGTTGCTCGGTGAGAGCCAAGAGCTTCCAACGCCGCTTGACTGTCCGAGAATATTTTTATTGCCTTGTGAGTGAGGTTGGATTCATCCAATCTCTCCGCACACATTTCAATAGCGTACATTTCCGTTTGAAATACAGTCGCATAAGTTCCTAGGCAGGTAGATAACTCTGTCCTGGGTCTGCGATTGAAATCACCTGCACCAGAACCGGAAGGTGTTTTTGATCCATCTGTGAACCAACAACTATCTGCTCTTAATATTTCGTTCTCCCGCAGGATCCAGCCCTCTCTACTCGGGAATAGTACTTTATGACGCAGTTCGTAGTTGACAGTTGGAGGCATAAAGTCAGAGGTCATTTCCAGAATGCTGTGACTTCCAATGTCAACCAACAGTCTGTTGCACTCTGCATTGAATTGATTTGTGCAATTGGCAATGTGCACAAGTCTGTATGCAGTCCATCTAGTCTCTCTTTTCAGAAAAATTTGGAGAGGAGGTAGATCTAGAAGGATCTCCATGGCCGCTGACGGTGTGGTACTGATGGCACCACTGATAGCCAGACAAGCCTGTCTCTGTAAGCCAGAGAGCTTCGCTTGGGCCGTTTTCTGTAAAGCCTTCGGCCACCAAGCAATTGCACTATACGTGATCATTGGTCTGACAATCATCACATAAATCCAATGGATTTGTTTGGGACCTAAACCCCAAGTTTTACCACACATCCTTCGACATGTCCATAGAGACAGTCTGGCTTTGTGTAAAACTTTTTCCAAGTGAGCGTTCCAGGTGAGTCTTTCATCAAGGACAATGCCAAGATATTTCACCTCCGTTCCAAATGGAATGACCACACCATTGGGGGAAAGTGGCGTTAGATCGTCCAAGTTCCTTCTCTTGGTGAAATGATGACGAAGTGCTACATAGTTATTTCAGCATATGTTGATTCGTGTTTTTCCTCAGGAGAAAAATCTGTTTCTTCTTTTGATAATCAAGTATGTTTTTCTTGAAAGGCGATCATTTTTTCTTAAGATCCTTTTGATGGCAAGGTGCTCTACTTTAGAGTTATTTCAGCATATGTTGACTCGCGTTTTTCTTCGGGAGAAGAATCTATTTCTCTATTCGTAATCAAGGATTTGTTTCTTGAAAGGCGATCATTTCTTTTTAATATTCTGTTTATTCAACTCTTGAGATTTTTTCTCTCAATCTATATTTCGTGGAATTATCTTTCATAAATTTCTAATATTTTGAACAGTTTCTATGCAAACGATTGTTTTTCAGAAAAAGTCACCCACATTTCTCAACTTTGTTTTCAGTCTTCATGATCATTTTGGGCAAACCTCGAATTATGACTCATTTATCAGCAGAGGGCTTATCAATAGAAGGCTTTCTGAGCTAAAAATTTGTTGCATTTCGAAATGCTTTATGTCATTCGTAAATGTTTGTACTTCATTCCATATTTTTTTGGGTGGGTGATCGATATGGATAGGTCAAATTGATTGGTTTTTATACATATATTAAGGAGACCATGTATGGCTTCTGCTGATGACTTCGTGCATTTGTATTTTTTTTGGCAACGTAGTGTTGTTCATCCTTGCACGTATCTATGGTTTTCTTTTTTTGAGTGTTATACCCGAATAAATTATGCCTTGGACTCATATCAAGACACTCGATACCCTTCATATCTGTGTGATTTCCTGGAACGTGAAGTGACACAGGCAGCTATAGCTGCTTCCTTGATAATTTTAGTAGTTCTTTCGTGAACTCCATATCTATTCAAAGTGACCCAAGTTGTTCCAATCTTGAAGAAAGGCAGTGATGATGAAATCGAAAATCACCGACAGACAGTCCCTTTTCTCTTCATAGCTGACGAACAGATACCAATATGTGACACTTGATTCGAACAATGTGTTCGACTTAGAACCAGTTCCATGTGGAGTTTCCCAAGGCTCGATTTGGGGCCCTCTTCCATTCATAATCTATGTAAATTATCTCTGCGTGATATAAATCAAGTTCAATTGAATGTATCGTGTATGAACTTATGATTTCGACTTATTGAAAGGATATATTTCAAAAGAGATTAATTTTTGGGATAGAAGGTTTTTACTCATGATGCACTGTTTGGAACCTTTGGTGTAGTAATGAATATTACTGGAGTTTTTTCCCAACACCAAATCGTTATTTTAAACACCTCGTGTTTGGATCACCAAGTGATCATGTTCAAAGAGGAAGATTAAAACTAGAAACCAGTTTCTAGAAACTAGTTACTTGGGGATCGAAACACGTGTCGATGTTTCAACAATAATGATTTGGTGTTGGGAAAAAACTCCAGTAATATTTAGAACGTTTTTGGCCTTCTACTTCTCCATCTTGATACAAAAAATGTGGGAATCTTTCAAAAAAAGGAAAGGGAGCAATAAATTTCAAAAATTAACTCTTTCCAAAGATGTGTAGATCATGGAAAGAAGTAACTTTCATACACGAACTGAAAGAAAACGCCCTTTGAAACAGCTATATTCATATAAACATTCAATTACACGAAAGAAAATTACTTTCGAAACAAATACTTCTATATGAACGCTGATTTATACAAAATACACTTTTCTCTGATCCGTTTGTATTCTAAACATTCGAACGGGATCGAATCCGATACCATTCACAGGATTCCTACACAAGATAATTAATGAAAGAAGTCAAATTTCATACACATGCAACACTGTTATACTCACTGATAGACATCCGATCAAGACATATTTGTGTAGGGTTAATTTTTGAAAATAATTGCTTCTTTACTTTCTTTGAAATATATATATAGCTGCCTCTGTGATAATTATAGTATATTTTGGTATCGGTGAGTGAGACTTAGTTTATGAGATGAAACTGTTACTACTTCACTGTAATTGAAATAGATCTTATCTTAGATGATGGTTTCGTATATGCAGTCGAGCTACGTTAAAATCAGTCTCGTATACATTGCTGTCTTCGTTAGATCTGTCCTGAATTCATGAGGAGTAACACTTCAAAACTGAAGGTAATCACTTGATTAATTTCAGCGTGGTCCTGCTGCTGAATAAACGATAAACATCTACAAGATTTCTATCGGATATAAGCAAATGTTCGTCGTAATATAAACCATAGCACGCATTTGCAGATTCTTCTAAGTAGGAACTTTGGAAGAGGTGAATGTTTGGAGTTTTCAATTCAAAATATTCATTTTCTAAATAAGAAAATCTTCGACAGAGGTTAACAACATCGGGTTGATTTTTATTTCTGTATATTATTGGTTGAAGTTTTTTTCACATATTTCATATCGATAGGTGTCACTTGATATACTTGATCTAGGAATTCCTAATATGTTTTCGATCACAAATCTGGAAGAAAACAATAATGATGAAAATAAAATGAAGACCACCACGAAAGGAACAATCTAGAAGTTTGTTCTGTGACAGGAATAATCAACAAAAATAAAATTGCCGGAATGCGTTTTAAAATCCTATGTGACTATTGAATGGGATGGAATAAGACGAGAATTATTGTTAGGAAGCGTGAACTTAAAAAATCAGCTTACGTGAGAATTGTATATATGTTGGAATCAGAGAGACATTTTACCCTAGTTGATAAGTATTAATGAAGTCATTAATTGATATTCTCCGGGTAAAACATATTGAATCAACGCAGTAACTCATCTGGGCAAACAAGAAATCCGTGTTAGATTCTCCACAAAACTTTGAATTTTTTCAGATTATAAGAAAATTTCCAAAGGAAACACAATAAAAATTCTGGACTTCTTTATAAAAATATTGGGGTAATAATCAAGTTCACCTTGATGAAAGAGTATGTCTAATTTACTCTGTTACGCAGATTTTGCATTGGTGTATTCAGTAGAAAATGTTTCAAGAATGAATATCGTCAACATGAAATCATGATTATTTGCGTCACATGTCAATCAATTATTTTTTCGAATATAAACCAAAATAATCCTGTAATATTATTATCTTCATACACTGTTGATATCTATACGGTAGGGATCTGAAATAGTACCCTGTGAAGCTCTATTTCCAATATTTTATTACTTATCCACCAAATGAATGACAGGTCCTGATTTCCCAGAGAAATATGATTATGAATGACAAAGTACATTCCTGGTTTGATGAAAAATAACAATTATGGGATGATTCCGAAGATTAGGCGACTAATCTACTTTTAAAATTGAAAAACATCTGCAGTGTGTCACATCTATAATGAAGATACCCCTGTATTTCAGTCATTTTTGTGAGTAGAGATTTGATTTTTGGTACAGGCACAGACCTGTTCACAATACTTAGTCCAAGTATCAACCTCAAACCCATGTGCACTGTTTAGAACCATTGGTTTAGTAATGAATATTACTGGATTTCCCTTTTGAAGATGATAAGTTGGTGATCGAAACACGTATCGAAGTGTTGAAATAATGGTTTGGTGTTAGGAAAGAGTTCCAGTAATATTCAACCTCAAACCCAGCCTTCTGCGATCCCGCAAAATGGCAAATTTACTAGCCTGTCTCCAATGTTGGTAAATTTTTTAGTTTTTTGTTGTATATGATTGGTTTCGTATTTGCCTAATTCAATTTCATATTTTGTGTGTCAACAGTTTTCAATTTGGGCTAGAGTGTCATGGAAACGAATGGACTGTTTATACACCAAATGTCAGTTTGAAAGTAAATGCGTCAAAAGCAGTATCAAAATTCCTATTGAACATCTGAATTTAAGAAAAAAAAATGAAATAATAAGGTTGTTTGGTGATGGTGTTAGGAGTAGCAGACAAGTTGCTCAACAATTCGACAGAAGACATCCGCAACTAAATCGTATTCGACATGAAACGGCAGCCTCCGTTGAAAAACTCATTACTTAAGCTCATGATATTATTTTTGTATTTAGAAAGAACCATTAATTGAAAATCGGATAATGGAAATTACAAAAAAAAATCGAATTCGGTACGTAGGGTCGAAATCGATTTCAAGCAGTTTTTCGAAATAACTTGTTATGGTATCAACACGAGAATTTACCCTTTTCGCGGGAACGCAATAGGCTAGGTTTAAGGCTTTCACTTGAGTTAAGTATTGGGAAAAGTGCGGCCCATGAAGGTCTATGCTTGTACCAAAAATCAAATATCTGCTTTCAAAAATGACTTAAATACAGGGGTTTCTTCATCTAAAGTTAATAGATACAATTGATTCACACCAATACTAAGCATAAAAATCAAAGGCATTCATTTCCCATTGAATGTATGGAATATATTTTTAAACTGATGCACTAAATGTTTTCAAATTCTGAAGTATTGAATTATAATTTCGTGATACCTTATAAGAGAACGAATCTTAAAATATATTATGTACATTTTCACGACATATGATTTGTTTCATCATGTTAATGGCTCTATTACATTTAGCTATTTTGGTTCACTCAATTCATAAGATATACGTTGTCGTCTTCTGATTCTATGAATGAATCATAGATTTGCTTTTTTATTCGAATACTGCCTAAAATCGAATATTTTTTTATTCGTGGTCATATATTCATTCATAGCGGTTCAATTTCTCAAATGTAAACCCTGAATTGCAATTCATCGTCATCCAGTAATTTTTGAAATGTTACCTTCAATGTTGCTGTTTTTATTCACAAATGAAAAGTAGCTTGATGTGCAAATAATTGGTATTTTTTATCGTCGTGAAATTATATTATTTGGAACAAAACTGACATTGTGATTTTTCGTTTCTGAAGATTATTTTCGAATACATTTTCGAATTCACAAGCTTGATATATAGTAATCCCTATTTCTGAATCAGTTCAATGATTTCAGAATACTTTTTATAGATATTCAATATACTTACTCGTTTTGCTTTGAGGTGTGAATGCTATCTCATCTGAACTAAATTATTTGAATATTTTAATGAATTTTTTCATTCATAGATTCTTCACGTGAATGAATAAATTGTTTTCTTATTGAAAATATAATGTACGTTCGACAATATTCAACCATTTAACTAAAAAGAAGAATCTCACCACACTCATCTGATATAACGAGCAACAAATCAAAACTTCTCCTTCAAAAAATAGAACAAAAATACTTGTTTCGTGAAATTTTTCTATTTCCTTCGATAATCTGAAACAAATAAAAAAATCATTCATCCATAAATATCATGAACCTGTATATAACGAGAGATTAATGTTAACAAAAAAATTATATCCGTTGTTGGGAATCAAATACACTATCAGTGAATGATTATTTGATAATATTTTTTTGTGACATCATACATCTTTTATCACAATTGTATAAGTTTTTTGAATCTCAAATGGTCAGTAGACCAAATTTGATAAAAATGAGAATTTTTTAAATTTTCAGTCATATCTCCTTAAATTGAACCCAAATATGGAAGAGAAAAAATGACATCTGTAATAACAAATTTTTCAAAAATCAGAAGTCAATAGAATGAAATTTATGGAACTGAGTATTTTTCAAATTTTTAGGCATTTTTCTGTAAATCAAACCCCAAATAAAAGAGAGATACCAAATGACATCACTAATAACAAACTTTTCCAAAATATAGGCTTGGAAGGATATGAAATTGAAGTATTGGCAATCACTGTAATGTCACAGAGTAATATCACAATATATTTATCTTCTACTGAACCAACTTTTCAACGTCATATCCCTTCGCGAAAACTGTAGTTTTCCGTTCTGTCGGACGGTAGCACAAGTAATTCATTCCACTCAATGAATCACCCGCTTTGGGAACGCATTTATGACAATATCTGAACGAAAGTAACGATTTACTTCAAAAGAAGTTTCAAAAAAAGACAGTGTTCCAATCCTTCTTCGTTGTTCCAGGCTATCAAGGATGCTTGTGATGGTTTCGTCACCAATCAGGGAATTGAATAAAATCTAGAAATTTCAGAGTTTGTTCAGCAGCGGCGTTCCATATATGTGAGCAATATTCGAAATCTAGCCTAATTTGAGCTTCATATAAATCTGTTCAAAATCTGTTTTTCCGTTAACCAGCTGTCGCTCGCACCCCTATGAACGACAACCTTCAGGAGCCAAAACTTGTGCGAGCTAAGGATTAACGAGATCTTACCTATTAACGTGTGATTCCTAACACGTGTGATTCCTAACACATATAGCTTTTGTACAACATTCTGGTTTAGAATACAGTTTCAAATTTCGAAGAAGCCTACTTTAGTGTTCAGTTTGGCATCCAAGAAATCAATCAATGTAGCTATGAATTGTGTGATATGGTATCCGGTTTCGATACATTCATCTTCTAAGAGAAACCTAGTGCTTGAATTTTCGTAGAATCAAATTCTACTTGGTTTTCATCTCCCCAAGGTGTAATTTTGTATAGATCTTCACAGAGATATGAAACCATTTTTGGCGTAGATGTGCTTTGGTAGCATCCAAATGAAGAGACGAGTGATTCATCGTCAGCAAGGCAAACTATTTGTTTTTTTTTCCAATGGATTGATGTATGAGAGAAAAAAGAATAGAGATAAAATGGTCTCATATGGAACACCAGTGTTAAGGGAGAAAGCATTTGATGATGAGAAGATGAAAAGGAATTTGATGACGTCAAAGAGTATAGTATTTTCTCCTGTTGGTAAGAGAGGTCACTACGGAGAAATGGAATTTCCGAAGTTATATCTTAATCGGTAGTAGAAGTCGAAGTCTTGTTGAAGAAAGTAGTCTTCATCAACATTCATTGATCTAACAAAACTTGGTTATACTTCAACACGAACTGGACAAAATGATATTGCTTTTTCGACTTTTACTACTGAATAAGACAAATTTTCACAGAGGATCTACTGATGCATCAAAAAACTGAAAAAATGTGAGAGGTTGGATTTGTCATTCAAATAAACACCACAAGAAGAACCTAACATCAGTTACACCTCTCGAAGCGAAGCAGTAACTCGTCTTGATAATGCCATCTGAGATGATGGCGAAACGTCGTTAACTTATTAATGATTATAAAACAAAAATTCAACGATTGAAAATAATTTTGGAAGTTTTTTCAAAAGCACATAAAGATAGAGAAAATATCGAGATCAGCACAAATTTGTTTTATAACTCTGTCATAATGGTGGGCCTCCCCCACCATTATGACATAATAATTGCTATCTTGAGGGGGAGCAGTCCTCAATATTCAGTACGACGAGTCAACTCATCGAGAGCAGTCAAGCTAAAAAATCACACTCCAGCAAGCTAGCAAGCAGAATACTGAGTAAGTTATCAATATAATTTTTATATTAACTAACTTTGTATCATTCTACATTTTCAGAATGGAAGGATATACACAGGAGCTCAACAACGCTGTGTAGTCGATCCTGCCGGTGGACAACCCCAATGAATGGGTCTTTGAGGAGGAGCCAACAGCTTCAGGTGGTGTACGACCCCGTCGAGAGAGAAGCCCTGACTTATTCGAAGACAACTCACGGGTTGTCTCAAAAGTTAATCGACAACCTGCAGCAAGGGTTGGTCCTATTAAAAAGTACAGAAGTACTTGCAATAAGACTAATCCTTATGCAGGTAGTCGGTTCACCGCTCGGAAGAGCATGAGACCCACCACACCGCTCGTACCAGCAGTGGAATCACCGAGGGTGTCTTCTCCGGAGGTTGAGGACATCCTGTTGATCCCGACGACGATGGTGATGCCGCTCTTACCACTACCATCAACCCCGGCGGCTCAACAAGTGTTACTGTCACACCCTATCGGAGAAGTTAATGACAAAGTGCAAACTTTTTTTACAGAGGTGTAAGAAAGTAGATCTAGCTTCCCGATCTAGTGAGGCTGCGTTGGCTAGCATTTTCCGCCAACAGGCTGAAATTGCTAGCCGACAGAGGAAACTATTGAAAGAAATGGCCAAACTAGATCGAAAGAATGCATCTCTGGAGGAAAGGCGAAAAATAGAGATCTATTCGATAGAGATGTATAAAAATACATTTAGAGACAATAGAGACATTTAGAGACAATTGGTCAGGTTAGGTTCAATAGAATAATTTTAGGTTAATTAGGAATAATAAATTATGGTAACTTTAAGTTCATATTTGTAATTTTAGGAGAAAAAAAAGGAGTGAAATAAAGAGTGTACACTGTTTTAATTTGGTACACATTGAACAATGCGATGGTTGGGGCATTATTCTTCACTTCTGCATATTTTNATATTTAGTAGAGCAGCTATTGCCAGCATGTCAACAACTCAGGAAACTGATTCCACGACCGGACCCTAGTTGGAACCCCAGTCGATACCTAGAGCTCCCAACTTCAGGGTAATGCTGCCTTTCGATTTGAATGATAACGACGATGGCGATTCGGACGTGTACATGGAAGTTGATTGCACTACTGAGCCACGTAACGGTTCTTCAACGTCGCATATTCTTGATTCCCGGGTTCAAGTGCTTCATGTCAGAAGCACTGACACTAGGGGAAGGGAGTTGGACCTAGAGTATCCGGATCCTAATATGGCTACAAATGTTTGCGGCCCTGTGGTCAAAGAGGCGGGCTGTCATACGCATGTGTGAACTCGACATCAATTCTGACGACGACTTGTAATCGTTTCCTCGTTTCTCCCACCCTCGAACCTTTCCTTCCTCGGAGTACACACATTTTGGTTGGTGTACACGGGACACTGCGTGATTAGGACAGTGTTTTTCTCCCTCTCCCTCATTAGTTTCCATAATAATCACTCAGAGTTCCATGAAGATCGTCATTATTGTTGCTTCCGAATTTCAAACAATAAATTGTTCTACATTTACACATATAAATAAAGCATCAATACAATAGCAGCAGCTATTTTTTCAGAATTCATCTTGATGTTTTCTCACAGTTGTGTAGTGAACGAATGAAGTTCAGGATCGCAAGTCGACTTATATGATTGTATAGGTAGTGATAGTGGTAGTGGTAGTGGTAGTGGTACGACTCCCACTTATCACTTGACTCGTAGAGCGCATGCGCTAGTTCATTTTCTTCTATAAAAGGTGAAGTATCAGTAACATCATCACCTTTCCTATTCGCATTCTATTGCTATCATATATCATTCCTCAGACCTAAATAATCATTATCATGAGCTCCATGCCGCTATTGATTGCTGAAGATGGTTCACTATTTGTTGATATCGATCACACTGATTTTGAAAATATTCCAGTATTACATTTATCTAGTCAAGAGTCGATGAATTATTTTGATAATAGTGAATAGTTTAGTGAAAGAGCTCATGTGCCAGTTGATGAAAGAGCGCATGCGCTAGTTTAATTTCTTCTAGAAAAGGTAAAGTATCAGTAACATCATCACTTTCCTATTCGCATTCTATTGCTATTGTCAAATATAGAAAAATAATCATGAAATGATTCAGATTTAGTATAATGTAAGTTTTTGATTGTTTTAATGCATTATTTTCTTATTAACATTTGAGTTTGAGTTTATTTAAAGTATTTTTTCCGTTTCTTTCACAATAAACATTTAATTAAGTTTCAAATGAGTTCTTTCATTATTTGGGATGAATGAATGAGCGGGTGAAACAGCAAATTAAAATCCTCTCGTAAATAGCCAAGCGAGAACTGAGTTGCGACACTATCACATTTCATTCCTCAGACCTAAATAATCATTATCATGAGCTCCATGCCGCTATTGATTGCTGAAGATGATTCACCATTTGTTGATATCGATCACATTGATTTTGAAAATTTTCCAGTATTACATTTATCGATTCAAGAGTCGATAAATGATTTTGATAATAACCACTTCGATAACTTTGCAGATATACCGGAACCAATTGAGCAAATTGTTATTATTGAAAATCCAATCGTTTCGCAATTATCACCACTCAAATACCCTTCATCTACACTTCCTCTTGGTGTTTTTAAGAAATCTAGAACATTCAAGAGGAAGGTTACTGATGCATCTTCATCGATTGTCACTGAATTCAAAGAAAAGAAACAATCGAAAAGTGGTGTGCGAGAGAAAAAACCGACAACGAAAAGTGACAGATCGAAGAGGAAGACAAAAAGTGTACCTAAAGAAATGAAAGGTGATTTGAAAGCTGAATCGCTATCTTCCTTCAGTGCACTACATCGGTTTGGAGATATGAAAAAGAAAGCAAAATGCCACC